CGCGAGCGAAATCAGAAGAGAGATTCGATGCGCGTGACCACATTTGTATTACGGGAAATTGTACAAGGTCGCGTTTCTGTAGTTTTTCGTGTTCAAACAAAAATCGGTTAGGCAATCGGCGAAAAACGTAGTGTTATAATGGAAGCAAAATAACGGTACAAATCCCTTCAGGTCTCACCAAGACCCGCTTTGCGTTGAACGTGTAATGGGGAAACGCTTGAATAATGGAGGTAATGAATCAAAAAGTTCCTCACTTCAAGTTTCGTAATCAGCAAGCACTGAGCGAAACGGGCGCGTCGTCCAGAACGACTAGCGGAAGGAGTGATATTGGGCGCAGGGGTATCTGGGGTGGGCGCGAGTATCGGTGGGATAGGGGGATTGTTGGATGCGGTCGGTGGTGCTTCGATGAGGGTAGGTTTCAGATGATCAATGAATGTGGTATCGTGCTTTCCGCTCTTCTCTAAACCAAAGTATTTGGAGTGACGTTCGATAACCTCAAAGGATCCACCATAACAGGGTTGGAGGTCTTTCCTCTTTGCGTCATGTCGGACAAATACAAATGGTGTAGAAGAGAGATCGGTTGATATGTTCTGATCGCGTTGATCGTCTGATCGGTGTCGCACGAATTTTAGAATATTTTGTATCGGACGAGTGACGAACATGACGGGCACTTCGGGCCGTGCGCCAGAAAGAGAAACCATTTCACCGAGTAAATGTAAAGTTGTGTCGTACTCTAGTTCGGCTGGGGAGCAGTGAAGATCTTTCTCAATGTTGGAACGAATATCAAACAGAATGAGGGGTAAAGAAGAGGACCATGAAAACGGGTTCGTTTGGGCAGTCAAAGCAGTTAGAGGTAGCGATCGAAACCAGACCGTCGGAACAGGGATGATACACGGTGGTCGATGTGTGGTGGAAGCCGAATAGCTTAGAAAACTCGCGGAAGATATTTCGCTGAAATCGTGAACCGCGATCGGTAGTAACGGCGGAAGGTACGCCAACGTTACTCACCCAAGCCCGCAAAAACGAAAAGGCTACCGTTTCAGCTGATGCATCCGAAATGAGTACGGCTACTAGCCAACGGGTAAAACGAGCAATCATGGTAAGGATATGAATGAAGCCGTTTGATGGGGCAAGTGGGCTAAAAATGTCGAGATGAACTGTGTGAATCGAACATCAGGAACTGCAGATGAACCGATAGGTGAGTTCGTGTACCGAGCTACTTTGCTGCGCTGACAGGCGGTGCACTGTTTGGCCCGGAATGTCAGATCCTCATTTATTCAGGGCCATACAGAGCGCGGGCTAAACAACTCCGTGGTTGCACTGCTTCCATTGACGAGAAATTCTAGAGAAGTGGTCAAAAACAGCACGTCGGTAGGCTTCGGGGACGATTGGGCGAGCTGAGCTGGTGGACATATCACAAAAGTGGTTCCATACCGTGGTAGTAAGTGGAATGAATAGACTTGAAATTAAGGGAAGGATGGGATGTGCGAAAAATTAGGATCACTATTTTGAAGGTTCGCCAGCTTGGCTAGGCCCGACTGCGTAGAAGGGTGAAGAGCGTTGATGTCAGGATGGGATAATGCATCTGCGGCGAAATTGTCTGAATCTGGAGTGCACCGAATGTCGGTAGTGAACTGTGAAATGGAGTCGAGATGCCGTATCTCGCGTGGTGAACACCGATCAGGCTCGGCGTTAAAGGGATACGTAAGTGGCTCATGGTTGGTTTGGACGGTAAATGATACCCCTTCTAACAAGTGCCGGAAATGGCAAATAGCCAGGTGGATTGCGAGTAACTCACCACCAAAAGTACTGCAACGCGTTTGGGCAGTCTGCATCAACTGCGAGACAAAGGCTAATGGTTGAGATGCGCTGTTAACAAATTGATGAAGCACGGCACCGACGGCAGCATTCAAAGCATCAGTTGTCAAAATCAGCTTTGTGCTTTCGTATCAAGGAAAGACAATTTTGTGGGGTGAGCAATTCCGTGCTTGGCTCTTTCGAAAGCGGCATTGGCGGCGGGGTAAATTAGCAGATTTTTATTTGGAGCCAAATAAATCGGTCAGTGGCTGCAAAATAACGTCACGGTGAGAGATAAATAGCCCATAATAGTTGGTGATACCGGTGAAACGACGAAGTTGCACGATAGTGGTGGGTGTGGGAAAAGATTCTAGGGTCATATTGCGATCGATGTTGAAGTGCCGTTTGGGTCAATACGGTGGCCAAGAAAATCTAGGCTAATAACACCGAACAAGCATTTGCCAATGTCTAAACTTATGTTTTAAGTGGAGTGACGTTCAAACACCGCCATGAGTTGAGCTGCATGCTCAGTTGGGGAGGTGCTAGTGATTAAAACATCGTCTAGATAGGCGTACAAAGAATGTGAACCACGTAAAACTTCGTCCATGAAATGATCAGACGTTTGAGGCTCATTTCGAAGACCAAAGAACACACGCGTTAATTCGAAAAGGTCTAACGGCGTTGTGATGGCTGTTTTACGTATGTCAGCCGGGGCTCCGGGTATGTAGTAGTGTGCACGTAGGAGATCGAGTTTGGAGAAAATGTTTGTGTGGCATAAGATACTTGCGAAATCGTGTGTATGTAGGGTGGGATACCAGTCTGTGACAGTGGCGTTATTGGTACAACGGTAATCTCCACGACGTTTTCAATCACCTTTAGATTTTTTGGGTACCACATGTAGGGGTAATGACCAATGACTCGATGAAGTGCGGATGATTCTGAGTTCCAGCATATCTTCCGACACGTGTTTTACGATTTGGAGCTTGTCCGGATGAAGTCGGAGGAGTTTGGTATGGACAGGTGAGCCCCTCGTCTGGATATAGTGAACGACGGAATGAGTGACTGGTTGGGTGTGCTGACATGGATGAGTAAGGATTAAAAAATCCCTGAGTATGTCAGCAAAATGTGAGTCTGGTAAGATTACTCGGATGCCTGCGGATGACGTTGAGGCACTAGTTTCGTTGACTGAGAGGGAAGTTAGCATGTCCAAGAGGCGTTTGCGTCGCACATCGACAGATGGGTTGTAGTGGGTCAGGAAGTCTGCACCCATGATGGGTGTTTGGACGTCGGCCAAAAGAAGGATCCCTTTGAACGCAATCCGAGGTCAAGGGTGACGGAACGTTCACCGTATGTAGCGATGCGAGTGCTGTTAGCGGAATCGGGAAGTGGATTCCTATGTGGCAGCACATTAACTTCAGCTCAAGTATCCACGAGGAAACCTAGACCACTCGAACGATCGGTGATTTGGAATAGGTGACTAGTGCGAGGAGGACCACAGACGGTCGTCACCGTTAACGACTGGCCGGGGTGTTTAAAGTTACGTTGAGACGCGGCTTGAAGAAACAAGGCGGCTGGCATTTGCGCGCTTTAGGACCGAAATGTTGGTGATACCAGTACCAAGAGGGACAGGCACGAGGCAACGATTGGGATCGTGAACGTGGTTGATGCTTGTTGATCTCCAGTCGTTGTAGACGGTCGGTCAAAGTATCAAATTTAGTTTGTAGTTGCGATATGGAAGCAAGATTCGGATCGGAACCTGTAGAAGTAGTGGAGGTAGGGCGGGAGACGGAGTTCACGTGGTTACTAAGGTGGGTTTCGTGGATTTTATCCGCCATTTGGGCTAGCTGCTTCAAACTGCGGTCGTCGACGAAAGCATTGATGGAGTGAGATATGGAGGGTGGATGTTTGTCGAACCACAGTTGGGCCATGATTTCCACCGCCAGCTTAAGGCCGCAGAGAACACTGCGCATATGGCGAAGCAGTTGTGATGGCGATCTGTCCCCAAGCTCGACAGTTGTGAATAGATCCCGTGGCATTTTGTTGTCTGATTTCCCTGTCCTACTTATGACGGCCGCTCGAAGGGCATCATACGGATTTTCCTTGAAAATATATTCCAACATATCATCTATCTCCGTTGCTGCATCAAAAGGAAGGTGCTGGACGACTAATCGGGTGGCTTGGGAAGTGATACGTCGGGTAGTAAAAACAGCTTCGATCTGATGAGAACATGCCCTGGGATTGCGGGAATTATAGTCTGGTAAATGTATGCTAATTGCATTCTCGACTAAATCCGCTGAATCAAAGTGTGCCTCCATAATGACCGGGCAAAAGAAATAAACTTACGACGACTTGATGGGAAAAGTTTCATAATTTTCTAGAAAGACCCGGACTCACCAAATTTATGGTGGCCTGACTACTCAGTAAGTTACCTTAACAGAAGTGCGTGGCAAAGAAATAAAAATAATGGCGCTAGATTGGGTATACAGTAATAAAGAGGCCAAATGAAACAGACTCTCTAGTAATTGTCCTCTTAAAATAGTTCACCGCTAGCCCAGGTCAGCGAATAAACAACAATCCAATTATGTTGGTCCAGGGGTCTTCTTCTGAATAGTTACCACATGTAACAGATCCCGAAGATAGTCTGAAATCTTTCGATACCACAGTCAGCAAATGAGACTCGCGAATCACCGCTGCAAGCGCGAGCGAAATCAGAAGAGAGATTCGATGCGCGTGACCACATTTGTATTACGGGAAATTGTACAAGGTCGCGTTTCTGTAGTTTTTCGTGTTCAAACAAAAATCGGTTAGGCAATCGGCGAAAAACGTAGTGTTATAATGGAAGCAAAATAACGGTACAAATCCCTTCAGGTCTCACCAAGACCCGCTTTCATGCTGCCTTTTGACATTAGAACCGTAAATGACATCAGATACCTCTGGTCATCTGAGGTGAAATCCTTCATTGAACCAGTGTTTCTTCATAGTCGCCGCGAGCCCATTTTCAACTGTACGGTTTTTTGGGATTGTTCTGAAGCCAGTCAGGAATCTGCTTTGCATGGTGCTTCTCACCAGTGTATGGATGCTGAATCACCTAATTCTGTAAAATAAAGTCGGTTCAATTGAACCCATCAAGTAAGCCGTAGCCATCTCGACCAATGGGCGTTGCGCAGATGCCTAGTTGAACTTTGGTCGGTTTCCCTGTTCGCATGGCTTTCGACGTCGACAAGGCCCAGCTGCTTCGGAGCGTCTCGCGGGTGATTGTACCGGTTCAGAACTTTGCAGCGGCCTGGGGGAAACCCATCGCCGTTTGGAGTGCTGGAGCCGGAGTTTTGGCTCTGTATTTTGTTGACTGGAAGGTGATTTTTGCCCGCATACCTGGATACAAACGAAAATTCGACGAAGATACTGTCCGATGACAACATGGCTTGTATGGTCTCTCAATTCACTTGTATCCTTGATTAGTTTTTTGCCTCACTCAGGTTAAATACAGCTAGTAGAATACTGTCCTTTGTTCTCTTACCTTAAGACAGTTGGTCAGGTTTTAGCAAATCAAGGGATGGTAAAACTTATAAAGCGGTCAAGCTCACTGCTTTATACGATGCTTAAGTGACCGATTGTCGATATACTCAATGTATCGGTAGTCCTGAATTATCTGTCTTAGCGATTGTATTGAGCACCGGCCAGGTTGCGACTCCGTGAAATTTACTCCGTCAGCCGAATCTATCTTATACGATCTGGACGCTTGAATATCCCAAGGTCCATTCTTTCCTTCCCGATGTGCGCTGGTGGCCAACAATTAATCCGACTACCCAAACCAACCACTTCAAGACGATACACCGGGTACTCACGACGCGAGTTGCGAATTTATTCCAGGGGTGGTGTGAGCCTTCATTTCCTGGCAAATACTCACAACTGTCTGCATCAGTGGCTCGGTGGTGTGAAGGGAAACTGCCACGAATTATTCAAAATCGTTGGGCCCTGATGGTGCGTGTTTCCTTTTTGGGGGATATTGCAACTGAGTGATGCACCTCTCGTATCACGGTCCGGTGCTCAACTACCTGTGCTCTTGATTGTGTGAGCCTCTGTAGAATGCCTGTGTTGACTCGTGTAATACGGACATCGGTATCATACGAAGCCGTTCTTTGTGGGTGCTCGCACCTCCGCGTGGTGTGAGTCATCTCTGGGTGGACAAAATACGCAGTCCGTTTACTAATTAGCCCTCTTTTCACCCGATTAATTCAACATAAGTGTTCCGAAGCTATGGATACTTTGTTAAGGGAGATAGATACACTGCGGTGGAAGAAAACACTACCTTCCGGGTATCTTTCGTGCCGAAGGGATGACAGAGTTTTTCGGAAAAGTCTGGGCACCGTGTTTTTAAGGATTTTCCAATATTTGCCTCATTGGTTGATCAATGACAAAGGTGAAGAACAGAGAGAGAGTGAACGTTTTTGTGTGCCCCACTTTCCTCGAGGTGCCTGTTGACATCATATGCTATCGTGCACTCAGAAGTATGTAAATATAGGGACCATATTAGTTTCATATACTTCCGTGGCATCCCCATTTGAGCAACTGGTTAAAATCGCTGACAGATCGGCAGAATCGAACACACTCGTGATGTCAAGAAATATCAGGAGTTTGGGTCGTCTGTACATATGGCGTTGCTCCAACATTTGATAGTGTAAATATGTGGTCGACACAGCCTCCATCCAGTCGAAATCTCGCCTGCTGTTCTCTGCGTGCCGCCGTAAGGTAATGAAGAGTCAGTGATGCCAGAAGCTTTGTTACAACCGGAGTCATCATCGTCGACAGCATGACATCAGTGTTCAACACTGATATTTCACTGCCGTACAACCATAATTTATTCGAAAGCCTGATTGTGAAGAAAAGAGTATAGGTGAACAGGGAAGGGGCTTAGTGCTAGCTTACCACAAGCATTCCGAAGTGCCTACACCTCCAGATATTCACTCAGGCAATCTGGATAGAAACTGACAACAAGAACCCCACTGGCATCGGTTGGCAGTCAAACTGGCCCCACTGTGATCACTGCATTCACTGCGAGTACCCTTTTGTCGACACATCCCGGTTGTCTGGGTTAATGTCTCCCTCCCGGATGGACGCAAATAGGCTCGAGAGGCACTGACGAAGGAGTTCGCAGCCGTCCTAACGCATGGAAGGTACCAGGAGCACGATAACGGTTGAGCAGGGGTATTCAACCGCACGTTTTGGCGCTGAAGAGGATTGCATATTCAGCTATTCAGGTTTTCATTAGAGACCTAAGTCCAGGTCTCCGATGGCAGGTGGGAAAACTGGATTTTCGTTCGAAATTTCGTGCCTAGCCGTTTAAACCTCTCCCTTTGCTGGATATCAGGATTATTTCGGTCCTTGTTGGTTTCACTGACAAGTGGAACAACGTGCGGGTTTTCCAAGCATTTTTCGCATCCTCAACCAGGCTTCTCGGTCTGCGTAGACATCTATCTGATTCGACTGACAAGATCCCGTAGCACCAAGATGCGACATATACTCACCACCCCCACCTAGTCCAACTGATTTTCTTCAGGAAACTTTGATTATTTGTTCTTCATCATTTGCGTTCGTAAATATTGTCTCTTGTTTCTGATAACATGAAGCCCATCAACTCATTTGCCAAAAGGTGCGGTTCCATGGTGACTTGGGGGGGGGGGAAGGGCCAAGCCACTGCTCAAGCTGTGGGTGCCCCACTGAACCTTTCGAGATGTTCACTCCCGTACCGCCTGAAGGACCTAGGAATGCTTGGCTTCACACTTAGCGTGTTTTCTTCACCAGAATTCACAGAAGCCAGGGTCTTGGGAGTTAGTTTAGACACAGCATTTGGAACCAGTGTATAGGTGTAGCTTCCCATGCAAGTCCAGCATTGTTTATCTCAAAAAAGTTACCGTCCGCCACTTTGATATATGCATCCCCTTATACTGTGCTTAACTTATTGCTTGTGGTCGTGGTCGTCTTTAGTAAGAATAGATTTCATTGTCTTGGATTGTAAACAATGGTTAGCAAATGAGCAGACGAACTACCAGGATTCCCCTGTATGTAGACTGAAAGACTAGGAGTTATGCAGCCTGAAGTGCCGGTAATTTCGAGGCAACCTCCTTAATGTTTTTGAACAACTAGGGGGGACGGGGCGATCCCAGAAGGGGATGTGTTTGAACTCAGGTGCAATCAAGTGCCGATTTGGTATGCCAGTGAACGTATCCAACCTCGATAGTTGCAAGTGGCACTTCGCTAATCTGCCATCCATTGTTACAGTTTGCTACAAGACGTAGAAGCGCCTTCAGTTGCCGTATTCAGGTGGAAGCTTTCTGTATGCTGGGCTGCCTCCAACATCTCAACTAGCCACTTTGGGTTGGCTTGCATCAGATCATCATCTACGATTTTCTTACAGTATCGCATTGCGATGCAGAGTGTTTGTGCACTTTGTTTGGTACATGTCTTCCGTGTCTAAGAGTCATAGCTACACCCTGTTGTTTGTGAGATTCTCGTCTTCTGGATACAGTGTGTGGAGGGCATCCTCCCATCAGCCAACTCTTTGTGAGCTGATCGCTTCATGGAGGTCAGTGGTTACCGTAATTCGGATCTACTTTGGATCGAACCGGCCATGCATCGGGGCCGCTCAGCCTGGCAGACTTGTTCTGGATTGCCATTGGGATTTAGGCTTAACAGGTTTCATTAGCTTATCGCGAGATTCATTAAGCGTCGACTTTGCTGACTCCACAGGATGCTGACGTTTGATGTTTGGGTGTTATTTGAGGTACGGATGATTGCGATGTGCATCGCTTGTTGATGGGCATCTAACCGCTGTCTGAAGAGCCCTAGATTTGGTACAGTAATGGCTTAGGTAAGTAGAAGATTTCAGCGGCAATTAGTTCGGTTGTGCCTTCTGTAACAGCCCTTCACAGCTGTCAAGCCCATAACTCCCCGTCTAGACGATGTATTGTGTAGGCTGTTCGTGTGTAGGGTGTTACGGGTGTTTTGACCACTGCACCGTTCATAAATCTGAATAAGCGCCAATCAAGACCTAAATGTTTGTTGGCTGTGTCGGGCGCTTATTGATGTTGAGTTTTGCTTCTACAATTGTCAAATGCAGTTTCTTATTTGCCCGCAATGTTGTTGACACCAGGGGGTTCAGAAAGTGACTGGCACAGCGTTTTTCAGAGACTAGTTTCAGCATATTTCAATGCGCGCTCCCGTCGTCCTGAGTCGAACGTGTGACTACCCAGGATTTATTGTGTCACATGCAAACATTTGGCAAGGCGGTTGCAAAGCAGCTGGTAGATCGTTAACAGGCACACTCTCTTGGCACAACATGGAGTTTGAGCGTTGTCCGACGCCTCAACGCATTCAATTGTTCTTGTAGATGGCCCGGGTCAGACCCAGGTTGATCACATCGCCGTCAGTTATCGATGGCGCGGGTCAACAATTAACTGCCGCTCGTTTTGGGACAAATGTATGGGTTCCGACCACGAACCTATTTCGATCTTCGTTTTCCCGAGTCTTACGCGACAATATTTCAGCCCGTTGCTTGTCAGACGCCGCATCAAACTTGATGTACGCTCCATTCGTTAAGCCTGGTGGACACGGAAGGCTAAATAATTGGAAAAGACCGGGAATTCCGTAAGACTTTCAGTTGAGCCCTGCGGGCAGTCCCGGGAAATCATGGTTGTACGTACCGAAGCATCAATGTTGAAAACCGTTATGCTGTCGCTGACGGCTATCAGTCATTGCTGAGCAAGCGTATTAAGCATAATGGACCGGTCAGCTTAGTCGTATGTGTTTTGTAAACCCAAGGATACTAAAATTGTCATTTGTACGCATGCTTTTGCTCTAGCATTTGACGAAGTATAAAACAGCGGTCAAAGCGACTGCTTTTAAGTTAGAATCCTGCTTCCTGGTCTAGGGTCAATGCTGCACGGGTCACCATAAAGCAATAAATGACAGTTGGCGCCAAGAATCTCCTTACGGAGGGGATCATACGGATTCCCTCGTTATTGCACACTGCGCGCCCTCTTTTGTAATAGGTGTTATCATCGATTCTCCACAGTTGTCTAGGACGGCTTACTTTTCCAAGGTGCAGGCGAAGAGATCTGACAAGCTCCATCTGAGGATTTCACCCCCATCCTTGAATAAGGTGGGTGGGGGTTCATCCGGATCAAAGCACAGTGGCGCTTGAGAGAATATATGCGATCATAAGTTTCCGGGTTCCAGGTTCACCGCCTGATTCAGCTGTAGGCTGTCGGTGAGTGGCAGATGGTCCCAACGAAAATTGTTTGAATTATCCGAAATTAAATCGTCTAGGCATCATACCGAAATGAGACGTGGGATTTACTTCATGTTCTTTGGAAACCTGCTCACAAACCGTGCACGTAGATGCATTGATCCCAGC